CATTCCCCCACCACCACCACCGTACCACCTCCCCTCGGACGCAGGACCCTTCTTTAAAACCGATTTTTCCAGCAGCAGCAGCGAGGTTCAAGGGGAAGGCGAGCCGTGAGACACATCTATTCGCTAGAACTTTATACAACCAGCTCGATATTTTTCTTTTTTTTCCTCCCTCTTCAGGCAAATTTTGGAAGACCACAACAAACGCCAGCTGACAGAGCAAAATGAGAGTTTGACTCCGCGTTGTTTATTGTGCCCCCGCGATCTAAAGCTACTACTATTTCCACGCTCGGAGGGTTTTCCCCCCGCTTCCTCCGAGGATTTTAATTTAAAATCGCAACGAAAAGAGCCTCTCTCGCCCCCGGTTTGCTGATGGGACTGGAGAGACTATTTCACTGGGTCTCGCTGGCTCAGGCACTCTGCGGTTTAACAGTCCTCCAACGTACGTTAATATTAAAGATAACGTTAAATCGCCTCAAATATACACGCGTACACATATAAATATCTGTGGATCAGGTTTACTAAGCCAGCCATGGAATCGCTTACGCACGGTCCCAATAAAGTTGGATTTGCAAGGCTGTATATTTGTCTACACACCCACGCAGACAAACACACGCATCTAGGAGCGTGTAACTGGACGCGGTTAGACCCCCACGCTATTTATTTGCGGACACACCTATCGATGCCTTTAAACAGCTTTGCTATCGGTATATAAACAGCAGCTTGAGACCACAGCTACTTTTAAAAGGGGCGGCGTGGGCGTTCTGGATATATGCGCCTCAGCGCGCGCAAAATCTATAAGAAAGTTCTGTAAGCAGCGTAAGGCGTTGCAAAATCGCAGAAGGGCCGAGCTGCTCCTTCAATTAAAAATTAATAATAATAATAATAATATTAATAATAATAATAATAACGAAGTCGCCCAGCGAGCTGCTCTAAACAAGGTTAGCCTTTGGCCAAGCGGTTGCAACTCGCGTTCGCCTGGAAAGCTTCCAAAGGCCTGAAATTGGGATTAACGATCCAACTGTTCTGGTTAAGCGAGAAGCCAGAAGAAACAATTTCTTCTGAACGTATCCTCGCAGGGAGGGCTCTCCGCGGGCCC